GTTGTACCATTTTACATTCCCACCAACAGTGTATAAGTGTTCCAGTCTCTCCACAACCTCTCCAGCATTTACTATTTTGTGTTTTTTTGGATTAATGCTAGCCTTGTTGGGGTGAGATGGTATCTCACTGTAGTTTTGATTTGCATTTCTCTAATGGCTAATGATCGTGAGCATTTCCTCATGTGTCCGTTAGTCGCCTGAATGTCTTCTTTGGCAAAGTGCCTGTTTATATCCTTTGCCCATTTTTTAATTGGGTTATGTGTCTTTTTGTTGTTGAGGTTTTGGAGTATCTTGTCGATTTTAGAGATTAGACACTGATCAGATTTGTCATAGCCAAAAAATTTTTCACAGTCTGTAGGTTGTCTTTTGACTCTTTTGGTCAAGTCTTTTGATCAGCATAAGTGTTCGATTTTTAAAAGCTCCCAGTTATCTAGTCTCTCTTCTAGAGCTTGTGAATTGTTACTTATGGTTCATACTGTGTTTAGGGCTTCTAGCATTGCCCCTATTTTTTCTTAAATGATCTTGTTTCCAATTTTATATTTAAGTCTTTGATCCATTTTGAGTTAGTTTTTGTACATATTGTGAGGTATGGGTCTTGTTTCAGTTTTTTTGCAGATGGATATCCACCATTTGTTAAAGAGACTGTCTTTTCACCATTAATGGACTTTGGGCCTTTGTCAAATATCAGCTGTGCATAGGTGGACGAATTTATGTCTGGAGTCTCAATTCTGTTCCATTGGTTTATGTATCTGTTGTTGTACCAGTACCATGCTATTCTGACTACTGTGGCAGTATAACTGGTTCTAAAATCAGGTAGTGTGAGGCCTCCCACTTTGTTCTTCTTCTTGAGTAATGCTTTAGTTATTCGGGGCCTCTTCCCTTTCCATATGAAGTTGGTGATTTGCTTCCTCATCTCATTAGAAATGCCGTTGGAATTTGGATAGGGATTGCATTGTATCTGTAGATCACCCTGGGTAGAACTGACATTTTCCCAATGTTGAGTCTTCCTATCCATGAGCAAGGTATGTTTTTCCACTTATACAGGTCTCTTTTAGTTTCTTGCAGTAGTGTCTTGTAGTTTTCATTGTATAGGTCTTTTACCTTTCTGGTTAGATTTATTCCTAAGTATTTTATCTTCTTGAAGGCTATTGTAAATGGTATTGATTTGGTGATTTCCTCTTCGAGGCTCTCTTTGTTGGTCTAAAGGAATCCAATTGATTTTTGTATGTTTATCTTGTATCCTGAAACTTTGCTGAAATCTTCTATTAGTTCCAGTACTTTTCTTGTGGATTCTTTGGGGTTTTCTATGTGTAAGATCATATCATCTGCAAATAGAGATACTTTGACTTCTTCCCTACCAATTTGGATGCCCTTTATTTTTTTCTAGCCTAACTGCTCTGGCTAGGACCTCCAGCGTAATGTTGAACAAGAGTGGTGATAAAAGGCATCCCTGTCTGGTTCCCAAAGGTCACTTCTTGGACCAATTATCTTCTAGAAGCTGTCTTTTCATCTAGCTGCTGAGCTTGCTATTTTAAATGAAGATGTAAAAAAATAAAAGTACGAGTTTGCACAACAAGTCCTGAAGCAGGACATGTGGAACAGGGAGAAGGCCAGAGAGTTAGGAGCATTGCTCCCACTAAACTATTTTATACAATGCCTCTGGGAGCAGCTTTCAGAATCTGTAACAGAACCTGTAGTTCCCCGCATCTTCCTCCATAAGAGTAGATATGAGTTTTATAGTGAACTCTACACAACATTCACTAGTTACGTGGTTCATCCCTCCCTCAACTCTTAACTACAGCCTAAATTTTCACCAGCTACAACCCTGACACGCACCTTTCCTGATTATAAACCAGGCAGTATCCCCTTATTCTGTTCAAACAACTGCCTCTTGGTCTATGTACAAGTTCCGCATGAGCACAATTAAGTGTTCTGGAATTCCCATTCTCACAATGTTATCCACAATTTGTTATGATCCACACAGTTGAAAGCCTTTGCATAGGCAATAAAACACAGGTAAACATCTTTGTGGTACTCTCTGCTTTCAGCCAAGATCCATCTGACATCAGCAATGATATCCCTCATTCCACATCCTCTTCTAAATCCAGCTTGAATTTCTGGCAGTTCCCGGTCAATGTACTGCTGCAACCATTTTCTAATTACCTTCTGCATAATTTTACTTGCATGTGATATTAATGATATTGTTTGATAATTTCTGCATTCCACTGGATCATCTTTCTTTACAGTGGGTACAAATATGGATCTCCTCCAGTTGGTTGGCCAGGTAGCTGTCTTCCAAATTTCTTGGCATAGATGAGTGAGCACTTCCAGCACTGCATCTGTTTGCTGAAACATCTCAGTTGGTATTCCATCAATTCCTGGAGTCTTGTTTTTCACCATTGCCTTCAGTGCAGCTTGGACGTCTTCCTTCAGTACCATCGGTTCTTGATCATATGCTACTTCCCAAAATGGCTGAACATCAACCAGTTCTTTTTGGTACAGTAACTCTGTGTATTCTTTCCACCTTCTTTTGATGTTTCCTGCATCATTCAATTTTTTTTGATCTTTCAATATTGCAACTCTAGGCTTGAATCTTTTCTTCAGTTCTTCCAGCTTGAGAAATGCAGAGGTGGCTTGCATGTCCCTGTGATGCTGGAAGCTATGTCACCAGTATTTCAAATACCAGCAGGGTCACCCACGGTGGACAAGTTTCAGTGGAACTTCCAGACTAAGACAGACTTACTAATTATAAGATGTACCAAAAAAAAAGAAAAAACAGATGGGTGTAAGTGCAGTTCGTCATAACTTGAATACGCTGTAAGTCGGGGACTACCTGTAAAAGATGCCACTACGAGATGCACAAAAGAATAGGATGATTGTGCTGAAAAATATGACATATATAATTTGGCAACACCAATAATAACCAAAAAATGAGTGCGTGGTCACATATGTCTGTGCATAGGCATATATCTGTACGGGAAAGCACAGGTGTGGACGTATGTGTGCACAGATAGAAGTATCTATATGTACACGTACATATAGGTATGTGTGTGCGTGCATATATATTCCCAGAGGGCACAGTTACAGATACTGCTCAGACATAACCAAACACCTGGGACATTGGTTTTCGGGGTCTGAAGGCTTAGGACCTTGGTTTCATGGACAACTCAGTCAACTGGCATAATATAGCTGACAAAGTTCATGTCTGCACCCTAGAGAGATGAGTAGCATCTGGGGTCTTAGAAGCTTGTAAGCACCTATCTAAGATATCCCCTCTGTACTTGCCCCTTCTCCTCCACTTAAGAATGTTGAGAATCTCCCCACTCACAAAACAAATAAATGAAAAATGTTCCCTCTTCTCTGCCCTGCATTCAAAGCAGACCTTTCTCCTACCTTGTACTTCTCAAACTTCTTTAAAAAGCAGTCCACACTCCTGTTTTCTCGCCATTCATTCCCTCTTTGGCTCATTTCAATGTTGTTTTTAACTCTACTATTCTATAAAAATTAGTTTATTTTTTCACTTAAAAATATATATCGAACAACTTCTGCTTCTAGCCAAGATGGAGTAATAGGGACCAGATTCATCCTCTCACCTGAAACAACCAAAAAAAAAGTAATAAATGAGACAAAATTACATGAAACAACAGTTCAAAACACTAGAAATCAGGCAATAAAGGATAGCAGTCCTCAAGAAATGGAGGAAAAAACATGGTGAACCCTACCATTGCTCCAGCTTACTGGCTTGAAAGAGTTTCACGTCACAGCACAGGGAGAGGCAAATAATAAGTAGAGACACGAGCGATGTAAAAAAGATTGAAATCAAACTTGCAGATATGAAAACTACAATATCTAAGATTAAAAATATACTGGATGGAATTAATAGTACATTAGACACTGCAAAAGAAGATTAATGAAAGTAAAGGCAGGAAAATAGAAACTATCCAAAATAAAACAGAGAGAAAAAATGAAAAAATAAATCAAAAGAACACTGGTGAGATGGACAACTTCCAGTGATCTAAAAATGAGTAGTTGGGGTCCTCAAAGGAAAGAGGAAAAATATATGTTGGAAAAAGTAATGGTCAAAAACTTTCCAAACTTGATGAAAACTATAAACTCACAGATCCAAGAAACTCAATAAACTTCAAGCACAAGATGAAAACCATACCAAGGCACAACATAATCAAACTGCTTAAAACCAATGTAAAAGAGAAAACTCGTAAAGTGCAGCCAGCGGAAAAGGTTATGCTATATACAAAGAACAAAGATAAGAACAACATCAGATTTCTTGGAAACGACACAAGCAAAACGGAAGTTGTTATTGTGTACTCTCAGTCAAGTCCAATTCATAGCAACCCTGTATGACAGAGTAGAACTGCCCCGTAGAGTTCTCTAGGCTATAGTCTTTACAGAAGCAGATGGCCAGGTCTTTTCTCCTGTGAAGCACTGGCGGGACTGAACTGCTGACCCTTCTATCAGCAGCCAAGTACTTAACCATTGCACCACCTGGGCAGAGCAATTGAATAACATTACTTAAGGTAAAGTACGGGGTCAACAAAAATGAGAAAAACCCTCCATAAGATGAACTGACAAAACAGCCACAACAATAGACTCAAATATACCAACAATCATGAAGATGGCACTGGACTGGGCAACATTTCAGTCTATTATACATAAAGTGACCATGAGCCGGAGCCAACTCAATGGCAACTAACAACAACAACATCTAAGGCAAGAGAATAAACGTCACTGCTCCAAGTTCTTTGGAACCGGAGACCACTTCTTCATTATCGCATGCTAAGTTTCAAATACTAAGGCATTAAGTGTTCATACACCAGAGGTGACTACCAACAGTTTGCTGAATTAAAGTGAACTCCTTGGGTTAGGGAAAAAAGAAATCAAATTGTCAGGAAGAACTCCCAATAATACCTCATTGTCTTTAGAAATTGGAAGAAAAGCCTGGTGTTCTGCTTCCTAAAGGTCACAGCCATGAAAACTCTATGGAGCATAATTTTACTTTGACACACATGGGGTCACCGTAAGTTGGAAACGACTCGGTGGCAACTGGTACGGTATGATATCTTTAGAAATGAGTTTTTAAAAGAATTAACCTATTAATTTTTAATCCTTAAGCAATTCTTAATGAAAACCCCTCACCTGAACTACTGCGAAAGTCTCCAAACTTGTCTTCTTGTCTCCATTCCTCTCATCTTTCAAACCCAAACTGGCCATGAGAGTACATCTGTTCATTTCCCTTCTATATTTAAACCCTTAAATGGCACCCCATCACTTCCAGTTGTGCATCCCAAACTCAAAGACCAACACTGGTGAAATGAGGGGCAAAAAGGACAACTTAGCCAATTTTTGTAAAGTTAACATATTCAATTTAGAGAACTGTTGTTTATTGGGAGATTTCACTTCCTACTTTTTTGCTGTTAAAATATCCTTTTACAAAAGCATGGGTCAGTAAATGAAATTTTTAAGAAACATCTCCACTTAGCAAATCAAACAGTTGGCAAATCTCTGACAAAAAAACCAAACCTGTTGTCATCAAGTGAAGTTTGACCCATGGTGACCCCATATCTGACAGTGAGCTTTGTTTTTTTATTGTAACAATCCATGAAAAAGCCTAGGAAACACTGACTTAGAGGATAAAGTCCAAATGACAACCAAGGCCCTCACTCATCTCTCACCTTCTCCAGATTTTCTGCTCCAGCAATACAGGACTCCAACAGGATCCTGCACACAACTTGCTAATCCTTTCCCTTTCCCCCTTTGCTCATGCTTTCCCATGAATGGTGTGACCTCTACAATAAAAACTTCTTTTCCTCATCCTCACTCAATTTATTGAGCGCCTATACACAGGGCTGCCATGAATCAAAAATGACCTGACGGAAACTGGTGATTTTTTACTATGTGCCAGGCACTAAGGACTTAGTGAGCAAAAGAAAAACATCATTTGTCTTCATGTATCTGACAGTTTAGTGAAGGAAACAGACATCAAATAAATGCAGAAGTAAAAACTGTGGTAAGTACTGTCTTACAGAGAACCAAATGATGGAACCCAAAGGTGAAAGCAGGAAGATTACTCAGGAGGCTATCTTCAGGTAAAAAACGATTTGGACTAGAAAGAAGGCATAGAGAAGTCAGTCTAGAATTGACTGGACTTGTTGACAGACTGGATGTGGGCTAAAAGAGAATACCCCAAAGATGACTACAGCTTGAGGAACTACATAGACTTGCACCAACAGTACCAGTTTTTATGACTTTCTGGATCTATGCCACTTGGTCTGACCTTTCCACACTGCCTCTGGGTTTCATTATATAACCTCCTTTGGTCAATGGGACAATAGCAAACTTGTCTCAAGCAGCAACTTGAAAAGTGGCCATTTATCTCTTGGAATCCTACTACCACCAGGAGAACAAGCCTGCACTAGCCTACTGATGAGAGACCACATGGAGGAGAATCATGCAGAGACCATCAGAGATAATCTTAAACGAGCCTATAGCTAGTCATCTCTCAAACATATAAGGTCAGCCAAGATGAACATAACTGCCTACCAGACTCATGACTGACCAAAGACGCATGGATATGCCCAGCCAAAACTAGAAGAACCATGCAGCTGACTGCTTATTGTTTTGAGCTACTGAGTTTTGGGGAGGTTTTTTAATGCAGCACTGGCTAACTAAACATAGTGGTACCATTTAGTGAGATGGGGAGACTGGAAAAAACACAGGCAGGGGAGAGAGAATGGAAGGGGGGATTGAAAAGAAAAATCAAGCTCATCTTCTCTTAATCTGGTCAACCCCTGTTGCTGTTAGTTGCCCTCAAGTTGATTTCAACTTATGGGGACCTCGTGTTATCAATTAAAGCTCAACTTAGATATTAACCCCTCCAGGAAGCTTTCCCAGATCCTGCTGCTGGTTTAGGAAAGATTCTGAGGTGTTACCATTATATTTTGTGCACAGCCCTATCAGTGCCTTTCTATACTGTTTTAGAATTATCTGTTTACACACTTTTCTTCCAAGAGCACTTTCATATTACAGACTGTGTCTTGCTCATCTTGTTATCATCAACATGGAACACAAAAGGAGATTTTGATGTTTCTAAATTTAATAAATGAATAAGCAAATACTTATTTGATACTTTACCCTAACGTCTACTGTGATCCACTGACCACATGTATCACAATCACCGGGAGGCAGGGTTATTAAAAATGCAGGTCTACGGACCCTTATCATTAACCAAAGTGCCCTGTTCTCTACACTGTAAAGACAAGGACAAGGGTGAGAATATTCTGGCTAGCTACAGGTAAACAAAACAAGTAGTAGAAATGTGAGTATTAAATTAACTTTTCCTCAAATTTTTCTAGAGACGTTCTCTACGATGGAGTCCTTAGTCTGACGGGACCCGGGTAAGTGAAAATGCTCTGAAATTGATGTAATTTCTCTTCTAACTCAGGGTCTCCGTTAGAGGAAACAGGAGATGGGGTCCTCCACGGAAGTGTGGTCCCTCAACACACACGTTTACAGAGGATGCTCCAGGAGAATAGCATGTCCTGAGCTTTCCCCGTAGCATGCGCAGGCCAGGGACTGAGAGACAGTCGAAGCAAAGGCAGCGCCCGCGTGCTGGGTAGCGGAGCTCGAGCAGCGGAGCCGAGAGCGGTCCCACAGGACCGCTAGTCAAGGGCCGCGGGAAGACGGATCTCACGGAGTTCCGGGATGGGCGTTCTTTTCTAGGGGCGGCCACCCCGGATGCACCCCTGGCCGGACGGACCGTAAGAAAGGCCACGGTCGCACTGATTGCCCGGGTCAGACTTCAGGGAAGGAAGAAAAAGCAGGAAGGGTCGCGCAGATGGCAGCCGAAAGGGGATAGGAACGGAGTGCAAGAAAGTGCCGTCGCTTCCCACCTGCGTCGAGCTCCAGCTGGTAACAAGGCAACGGTTCGAGGGAGAGCTTGTAACCCTCGAAGCGGGGATCCAACAGAGGTCTCTTCACCCGCAGGGAGCAATTAGCCGCCACTTCCATCGCCTGCCAAGTTCCCAGCGTAAGAATTAATAAAGCTCTTGTTGAAACGTCCACGCTTCACTCGTCTCCCCGAATCTGGGAAACGGCGTGGTTCCCATCCCAGAAAACACTGCGGTGCAGAGTGACTTCTGGGAAATGTAGTGCCCATGAGAAAGTGGACCCTGTTGCATGCTGGCCTATGTAGTTTTTCAGGGACCTAACGCCTGGGCGACAAAAAGGTCTGGACTCGCTTACCCAGAGGGCTGAGCGACCAGGAGGCGGCTCGCGCTGGTTCAATTTTCACTTTATAGGCAGGGAAGCTAGGCCCCGCCCCGGAAATGCGTGTTCTAGCTTTCTGTGTGCTTAGGTGCCCGAGCTACTGAGGGTCTAAGTCTGGGCAGCCGAAGAGTGTGGTAGGTAACGGTCGTCAGCGCAAGGGTCATTTCGTCGCTGGGAAGGGACGGCCCTCGCCCGCGGTGATGGTGGTGAGCTATGCCCGTGGTCCTCAGGGCCGGGACCCGGGCCCAGCCCAGGCTCCTTTCGATGTGCTGTCTTTCGTTAGCTTCCCCGACCCGCACTCGCGGGCCTGTAGGGCTCTCCGACAGGGCGTGCTACCGGAGTTGGCCTGGAGCCAGTCCTCGCTTTGTTTTCTGGCTCCTCCCCTCCCGCCTCTCTCGCTGTCTCCGCCCTATTCTGTTTTCCCAAAGAATGTCTGAACTGGGAGGGATCGGAGGAATCCCCTAGCGCCCTCGTTTTGCCAGTGAGAAAACTGAGGCTTTTAGGAATTAAATGACTTGTCCAAGGTCACTATCCGTATTTTAGGGGCTAGGGCGAAATCCAGTTCAGTATACGAGCAGTGGCACTCACTAGACCTTAGTGTTTTGAAAACGTTAGCTTCCTACAACAGTAAATATTCCCTAGTCCTTTCTTAACCCCTCCATTTCTCCATCCTCCTCCAAAAAAAAAAAAAAAAAAATCCAATTCTGAAAACTCCTTGTCAGCTGAGCTTTCATGTAGGTAAAATGGGAGACAAAACAGAAGTCTCAAGTTAGTGACAGATTGAGTGGGGGGAAACGTTAGCTTATTTCAAGTTTTATTTTATCGAAACTTTTCAATGTCTTGAATTTTTTCAAAATCTAGTCTCTTTTGTACATCATTTTGTTTTTGGTTGTTTGTTCTTTGTTTTAATTGAAAATTAAACATTTTCTAAGTTAGGAATTAGTTTGGGATTTGTTTTCAGCTATGCCACCAACAAGCTTATTTACAAGCTTTCTTACAAGAAAGAGCTTACTTATCTGTTCACAGGTAATTTAGCAGTTAGTTAAATCTAAATCTGGATACATCCTAGCAAAAGGGAAAGCACTTAGAATCTTACCTGGCAATGTAATTTTTCACTAACAGTGATCTTTTATTGATTTTTAAGTTGTATGGCTTCCCCAAAATTTTGAATGCAGTTAAGGTGCATAAATTATTAGTTCTCCGTTGTGATGTGCAGTTAAAGTATTTTGGGGCTTCCAAAGTCAAAGTGCCTGGATTCAAATCCTGCCTTCACCACTTTCTAACTCTGTGCCTCAGTTTCCTCATCTGTAAAATACAAGTTGTTAGTAATACTTACGTAACAGTCGTTCTGGGAGTTAAATGAGATTGAAAAACTGAAAGTACTTAGCCCAGTATCAGGCATATAAGTGCTTAATAAATGTTATTATTATTATCATTATCCAAAGATTCATTAATAGAGGGTACATGGGGAGAAAATTGTAAAGTGAGTTCATCAGTATGACCTCTTGGGATTCAATAAGTAATATTAAGAGTAATGATATTGTTAATACATATTGTTGAAATTTAGTGCCCCTTCAGTTGGTAGACAGAGTGTTAAACTTGTTAGGCTGCTTGACAAGCAGATTTAGAAGAAAATGCCGTGTAAGTATTCTATATCTGAAAATAAATGTTGATGTCCAGGTTAGCAAGATGAACAAAGATGCGCAGATGAGAGCAGCAATTAACCAAAAGTTGATAGAAACTGGAGAGCGAGAACGGTAAGTAATAGATTGTGTTAATAAATTATATTTAACATTTTTAAGTTATAGTAACCTAGGAATCTAAATATCAAGGAGAGAAACTAATGTCAGTAGAAAGAACAACAGATGATTGAGATTACCAAACTCTTGCATTCCTAACATCTATAGAAGAGAATTTGCTCTGTTCAATATTGAAAGACTTGAAAGGGAGAGAATTGTGTGGAAAGATAAACAAGAAATTACTGTCCCTCAAAGAATGTATACTTTAATGGAGAAGAAAAGTACATATTCAAATAGCCACAATTGAAAACAGAATATTACCCAGGTTTAACAGAGACATGACAGATCCGGTTTCAATAACTAAGCTCTCTTATCCTCTGAGTAGCCAGATGTGCTAATCATACTCTCTTAGCACTCTTCTTTCTTCCCCTCATCTTTTGCTTCCTCCAGTTCATCTTTTACATCTTAATTTGGATATCACCTCTTCTAGGAATTTCTTCATTGTTTGTTCTGTCATAGCGTTTAATCACATTATATTGTAACCACCTACTTTGCTAGTTTGCATTCTCCAGTAGAATATATTCCTGAGATTGGAAACACCATTGTATGTCTAGCATCTAATGCTATGCCGGGCATGTAATTGGCCAAGTAAATATTTGAAGAAGAAACATGTTGGGAAGTACAAAGGAGAGACCAGGGAATTAAGAAAGGCTTCCTGGAAGCAGGGTGATACAGTGTATAATAGAAATATGTGTAAGGGACAGGAGGGATTCCTCGACTCTACCTGGTAGTTAAGATGATGAAGTGGGGTTTCACAGTATAGTAAAAAGCTGGGGCAAGAGGATTAACAGCTCTCTAAGCCAATAAAGAGGAGAAGACATTATAGGCAGGTGGAGCTGAATGTGCACAGCCACAGAGGTTGGGTAACACCATGATAATATTCTGGGAAACTGCAAATAATAAGAGAAAACTAGAGGGGAAAGTGTGAAGGTCGTGTGGCTGGAACAGTGGACAGGAGTCAGATCATAGAGAGGTCTTTTTATACCATGTAAAGAAGTATGGATTTTGTATGAGTCAGAATTCTTTAATTGAAAGTGACAGAAACTGAACTCAATATCTGACAGAAACTGGCTTAACCAGTGGAAATGTTTAAGCTTATATAACTGAAAAGTTCAGGGCTTGAAGATGCTTCAGACACCACTGGATCCACGCACTCCAAAATTGTGGCCAAGAATGTTTCCTTTCCTCTCTCATCTCTGCTTTTCTCCGTTGACTTTATTCTCAAATCAAGCTCTACCCATAAAGTGGCAGAGGTGGCCAGCAGCAGTTCAGAATTTATGTCCTACCATCTCAGACTACCTTCTTCCCAGTAGTTTCAGCAAAGGACTAGCCTGACTGCTATTCCACTTAGATAATAAGCCAGCTTTGATCAGCCCTGCCTGGGTCATGTTTCCATCCCTAGAACCCTGCCCAGATTACAGTGAGAGTGGTGGAGTTCCCTTCCCCCTTGAAGAAAGCAGGAAAGTAGGTGGTAGGGTTTTCAAAAACATCTGTTGCTGACACGGAGAGGAACATAAGAATAAAGAGTAACTACCATAACTAAGAAAATCCTGCAGCAATAGTAATAACAATAATTTACAAGTGGACAAATAGGTATATACGCCAAGAGGTGTGGAAGGATGTAAGCGAACACACCCAGCGGCAAATATAGGTTTGGGGGTAGGCATTTTTACATACTTGATTGTAGGTGTGGCTCATACAGAGCACACAAGGGGTAAAATCAGGGAAACTTCTTAGACATAACCAGACACCTCGCAGGATGAAGTTCCTAAGCTAGAAGACAAAAGACCATAGACTCAGGAATCTGTGTCAATTGGCACAACGTAGTACATAAAGTCAGTGTTCTGCATCCTACTTTGGTGAGTAGCATCTGGGGTCTTAAAAGCTTGTGAGCAGCCATCTAAGATACATCTATGGGTCTCTTCCCATCTGGAGCGAGGGAGAGTGAAGGAGACCAAAGACTCAAGGGAGCAATTAGTTCAAAGGACTAATGGACCACATGAACCACAGCCTACATGACCCCGAGACCAGAAGAACTAGATGGTGCCTGGCTACCACTACCAACTGTTCTGACTGGGATCACAGCTAAGGGTCCTGGACAGAGCAGGAGAAAATTGTAAAGCAAAAAAATCAAACTTACAAAAAAAAAACAAACTCACGGAAAAGACCAGGCTTGCTGGTCTGACAAGACACTGGAGGAACCCCTGAGAGTATGGCCTTAAGACACCGTTCTGACCTGGAAATGAAGCCTTTCCCAGAGACCACCTCCCAGGCAAACAGTAGGCACATAAGGTAAACAGTAACACCAGAGAGGAAAATACTCCTTGGAACAATCAGTTATGTGATTAGAAGGCAGAAGGGGGTAGATAATCAGGGCAAAAGAAAATGGGGAAAGCAGGGCAGAAATGGGGTGAGTGCTGATGTATTGTGGGGAATGAAACCAAGGTCATGAAATACTTTATGTACAAACTATCGAATGGGAAACTAATTTGCTTTGTAAACTTTGACCTAAAGCATAATTTAAAAAAATTGTTGCAGACTTTATCCTTGGGTGATGGAAGTCTTTAAAAGATTTTAAGAAAAGGAATGACTAGATCATATTTACCCCTTAGGAATCTTATTCTGGCAGTGTGGAGAATAGTCTTGGAGGGGCCATGATAGGTTGCAGGAAAATAACTTAGAAGATTATATCAGGTTAAAGATGAGCAAAAATAGAATGAAGAACTAGAAAGAAGAAGAAAAAGTAGGAGCGGCAGCTCTCCATATGAGGAAGAAAGCATCTAGAACAATGCCTTGGGTACTAAGGATAATACTGCCAATAATAATTTTATTATTATAGGAGATCATTTGTTGTTCCCCAGTTTTTGTTTTTTTCATTCATACAGCTCATAGTTACTGACCTACCATATGGCATGTTTTATCGAGGTGCTAGAGATAACAGTAGTAAACAAAATGGAAGTCTGCTTTAATAGAGCTTACATTCTACTGGGAGGAAACAGACGATAAATAAATGTGTAATATGTCAGGTAGTGATAAGTGCTAGAGTAAAAATTAAGCAGAGAATGATGGAGTGTTATTTTGGATAGGAAGGTTTCAGTGATGAGAAACCAGAGGATGTGAGGGAGTAGTAAGACCTCCAAGAGTCAAGATGCTGCCTGAGGCAGGAGCTTACCTGGCATTTTTGAGGAACAGGTGAAAGCTAATGAAACTGGGTGAGGGGAAGAGGCAAAGTCACAGGCATAGCTGGTGTAGGAGCAGATATTGTAGGGTCTTTGAGGCTATAGGTAAGACTTGGAATTTTATTCTGAGTAAATTCATAAATCACTAGAGGCTTTTAAGCAATGGGAAGGGGATTGAGTGTACAGGGGAAGAAATAGGTGACAAATTGGGAGGCTGTGGAACCAGTCCAAGCAAGAGAAGATAGTGGCATGAACTAAGGTAGTAATGGCATATGTGGTGGGAAACTTTTGGATTCTAGGTATATATTTTTAAACTGGAGCCAATAGGATTTGCTGTTGGATTGGATATGTGGTATTAACAAAAGAGGGAAGGATGCTGCCAAGGTTCTAGCCTCAGGAACGAGAAGACTGGAGTTTCCATTCTGAGACTGAAAAGAATCAAGAGTTGGGTTTTGGCCCTGAGATCGAAAGACCTGATTAAATATGGAGATGGAAATACCACACAGTGGATGTCTAAGAATATCGAAAGGGAAGCAGGTTTGCAGAGAAAAAGAATTAGTTCAGTTTGGGATGTGACATGTTTAAGCAAAGAAATTAGGTGGCTTAAGATCGAGAATGGAGGATTTGTAAGGGTGGATATGGCAAAAGGATAAGAAAGTACTGACAAGAAAATATTTGATTGCATCCATGATGCCATTAGTTGTAATAAACCACTATTTGCCACTAAGAAAAAGAGAAAACACTGCCAGTTCAATTATTATAGGCATGCCAGCTACTGAATTGTTAAGATGTGGGGGAAAGCAGTCTTAGAATCAATGAAATACCATAGTGTGTAATTTAGAAGGACTTGATGGGCTGGAAAAAGGGAGGGGGAGGTCTGTGAGGTTAGAGATATAACAGGACAATAAGAGAGCTAAAAGGATAAGTATTTGTGGTCAAAGAATGTGTTTTGGACTTTGAAGATTTCAGAGGTCCAACTCTTCCAAGTTCAACTAATACCCTGTAGAAGTTGTAAAAGACCCACAATTGTATATTTCTGTTGGTGAAGGGAAGTAGAAAAGTGGGTCAGAAGATCAGAGAGTAGAGCTTCTTGAGCATTATTGTAGCCCATCCAATTCATTTAATTTTACAGATGACGAAAATGAGGCCCAGAGCTTAAATGACTTAGATAGGTCAAAGAACTATTTTGTGATAGAACCAAGTTGAATGAAAGTTTTGTGACTGGAAGGCACAGGGTTTTTATTTAAACAGTTGAAACTTTTGCTTCAAACATCTCTAAGATGCACATTATTGTAGTCTAACTTGGGAACATTTCTTTTCTAACAGCCTCAAAGAATTGCTGAGAGCAAAATTAATTGAATGTGGCTGGAAGGATCAATTGAAAGCACACTGTAAAGGTAATCAGTTTAATTGAGAAGTTAAACTAATTCCATTGCTCTAAACTGGGTTGGTTTTGGGTTCACTAGAAAAAAAAATAATAGTATTTTTATGGTCTATCGCGTGCACAAGCATAAATTTAAATAAGTAGGAAATTGAATTTTGTAGTAATGGTTTCCTGTTTTCTGTGATATATATGTCTAATTCCTAATTATTATTTTCTTTGTATGTTTCTTAGATAAGGCAAGAGTGCTTGCATATGATTTTCTGTCTTAAAATATAGCATCCCATGTTTTTCAGTGTGCCTACTCAGAGTGAAACATTGGTATTTTTAGTATATTTTAGCTTAATAACAAATTGAGCACCTTATGGTTGGCAGATTTTTATAGGAATTATATCACTCTTGTCTTTAACAGTGTTACTCTGAAAATTTCATTAAAAACTCAGAGAATTACATTTATGTTTTAATGGAAGCTTCTTAAATTGTTTGGTATTGGTGATGATACCACTTGATAGAATGAGCCTCCTTTCTGGCTCAGCTTTTGGCATAATAGAATTCTGGATATTTTTAATGGATTTCCATTGTATTGTAATGGTTTCTACAAATAATGATAATAGAGATGGCTTATAACATTGAAAGTCAGTGTGGTAAATTAGTAAAAGCACAGACTTTGGAGTCATGCAGACCTTAACTGGTAAAGGGCTAGAGCTGGATTTCAACTTGTGTTTGAAAAAGTTATTTGATCTTTAAGTTTGTCTCCTCGCTTTCCCTGTGAAGTGGGAGAAATACCTAGTCCGTTAGGTTATTGTGAAGGCTAAAGTATGTAAAGCACCTAGCACATAATAGATGTCCAGTAAATGTTAATTTCCTTCTGTCTTCTAGTCTTTTGGCCTAGCCTGGAGAAAAGAGCAAAGGAATTGTTCTACATTTTAATTTTTGGCTATGAAATTATATTAGACTCAAATAATAGCTTTTTGTTCCTCAATGCATTTAAGACCTAGTAAGATTATAGTGAAATAAGATCTCCCCTGTTACAAGCATTTCCAAATGTTAAATTGGAACATTACAGTTCAAATTCATTCTGACTGTTACAGTTATTTGTTAAGTTGCACATTAATTAGCTGAGAAATGAATGGGCTTTTATTTATGTTTTTATCTGGATAATATGAAATGTGTTTATAAGATTGAATGAAATAGTCTTCATTAGAAAATAACGAAATCATCCTCTTTTTTTTTGAGGACCGGTCTATACTCTAAAAACATGATCTTAACCCTTCCTCTATGAAAATCTTTCTTACAGATAATGATTTTAAATGATATGATTTGTTTTTTGCTTTTGCATAAGAGGTAATTAAAGAAAAAGGACTAGAACACGTTACTGTTGATGACTTGGTGGCTGAAATCACTCCAAAAGGCAGAGGTACGGAATGTAAATTGTGTTGAAGGAAACATGGGCTAAAGACATGTTGTTGTTGTTTCTCGTTCAGATTTTCTTTTTATAAGGAAAAGCCCCCTTTCCAAAATTGTTTGGGTACTTGCATTTCCTCATGTAGGAAGAGTTGTAATTGTCTACCTGCCTCTCTAGCATGGTCTTGAGTAACAAATGAAATGATAGGTATAATATATTTTTGTACTATAAAACAGTATACAAATACAAGTTGATATTGTTGTTAAGATGGATAATTTTTTTAAATGGGATTTTGTAGAGGCAAATATTATCTGAAGCTAGGATTAACTTTATCAGATACAGCCTGTCTCCAAACTGTTTGAATATTTAATATTTCAAAGTTTTACTCCCAATTCCTGAGCCTTTCCTCTGCTATCTATTTCCTTATTAAAAATAAACCAAGCCCTCTTCTTGAATGTCTAATTAAGAATTTGATAGCCATTATTTTCATTTGTTTTGATAAAGTTCTTTTATGTAGTAATAAGTGGAAGCAAGTAAATTAGGTGGCCCTTAAGTTGTTTTCTTGCACAGAAATGATAAACCAACCCACTGCTGTCAAGTCGATTCCGACTGATAGCCACCCTATAGGACAGAGTAGAACTGCCCCATGAGGTTTCCAAGTCTGTGATCTTTATGGAAGCAGAATGCTACATTTTTCTCCCTCAGAGCGGCTGGTGGGTTCGAACTGCTGACCTTTAGGTTGCAGCTGAGCGCTTAATCACTACACCAGCAGGGCTTCTTCAGAAATGGTAAAAAGAGTTTCAATTTCAAATAAATTTGAAAATTATTACTGTAGAACACTTACGATTCCCTGAACTGCTACTAGCTGGGAAGAAGCTACAGAATCCCATTGTCTTTTTCAGCCATCTTGTTAGGCCTCTTGGCAGTGGAGATTATTATAGCTGTAAAACAAGATTTCAGGTATGTCTAAGGAGAATTAAAAAAACTTCAAATTTCTTGTTCTCCTTATGAATTTACATTTAAAAATAATTATCTCTGATTTCTTTTTCTAGTTTTCTTTTGTAAATTATACTTAACCTGGTAACATTATTTGGAAACTGGTTTTTGAGGTTAGGAATTGTTTTTGCTTCTCCTTCAACCCTTAGGTCTTAGACATTTCAATCTCATAACTACGCTGTTAGAGAATGGGCTATCTTAGTTATCTAGTGCTCTTATAACAGAAATACCCCAAGTGGTTGTCTTAACCAACAAATTTATTTTCTTACAGTTTAGGAAGCTAGAAGTCTGAATTCAAGGCACAGGCTCTACGGGAAGGCTTGTTCTCTCTGTAGACTCTCGGGAAAGGTCTTTGTCTCTTTTCAGCTGCTACTCCTTGGCTGTGTTTTTAGCTTTTGCATAAGAAGTAATTAGTGATCTTCATGTGGCATAGTATCTATCTTCCCCTATCTCTGCTTGCTTCTTTGCTTGCTTAATCTGCTCTTTTCTATCTCAAAAGGAGATTGACTTAAGCCACTCACTACATTAATACTGCCTCATTAACATGACAAAGAAAACCCATTCCTAAATAGGATTATAAGCACTATAAGTGTTAGGATTTATAACACATATTTTTAGGGGACACAATTAAATCCATAACATGGGTAAATGAAAGAGAAGTAAAAATATATTTATAAGTTCCTTTGTGTTGTTAGTCTTTATTGTCAAGAGTAGGCATACTTATTTTTATTAATTTACATAGAGTAAAACTGACCCTTTTTTTAATGGACAGTTCTATGATTTACCACCGGTATAGATTCAGGAGCCCTGGTTGTGCAGTGGTTAAGAGCTGGGCTGCTAACCAAAAGGTCAGCAGTTCAAATCTACCAGCTGCTCCTTGGAAACACTATGGGGCAGTTCTACTCTGTCCTATAGGGTCACTCGACTCAGTGGCAACAGGTACAGATTCATGTAGTTAACCACTACAGTCAAGGTACAGAAGAGTTCTATCACTCCAAAAAAAAAACCTCCCTCTAAGATATCCCTTTATAGTCATACCCTGCCCCTAACTCCAAGGCAGTTATCTGTTCTCCATCACCATAGTTTTGATTAAAAGTATTTTTAATATATGTATTGAATACATTTCCAGAGCATTTGAATCAGTTGTGAAGTCTTAATTTCTAGGCAGGCTTAAACTAAACATTTATAAAGGAGGGTATCCATCTTACTTGATTTGTGTACTTGTGTAATTCTTTATAGAAATGTTGAAATACATCTGAAATGTTCCATTTCCCCTGGATATATAAGCAAACACGTTAGAATTATACTTAATTCACCATTGTTTTATTTTTTAGTAGCCAGAAAAGGAGAAATAATAGTATAGATCTGTTAATTGATACTCAGTGTTAATTAAAATTTCAAAATGCAGGGGTTTGGGGGTTTGTTGTTTTTACATTTTTAGTTTACTGTTCTGAATAGGGAGCCCTGGTGGCACAGCGGTTAAGAGCTCGACTGCTAACCAAAAGGCCGGCAATTCAAATCCACCAGCTGCTCCTTGGAAACCCTGTGGGGCAGTTCTACTCTGTCCTGTAGGGTCACTATGAGTCAAAATCAATTTGACGGCAACGGATATATTCTGAATAGATAATACAATCACATGGTTGGTCCAGAATTTGAAAAGTAAAAATGTAACAAATATAACTACTGTTACAGTTTGTTGTGCATCTTTGCCAGTCACAGAGTATGTGCATTTGTTATTTCAATAAAATATTGCCAAATTACCTTCCAAAAAATGTTATGCCAGTTTATACTCCCACAAGCTAATATGAGAGTGCCTGTTTTCTCTGAGTCTCGCTGACAGTATGTTATTAAACCCTTTGGATTTTAGCTAATGGGATTGGTAAAATATGCTATCCCAGTGTAGTTTTAATTTTCATTTCTCTTCTGAGGTTGAACATCTCGTATGTTCAAGAACTTTTTTTTTTTTTTAATCTTTTCTGTGAATAGTCTTTATCTCCATTGCTCAGTTTTCTATTGGCCTGCTGGTCTTTTTCTGTCAATTTCAAGAAACTATATAGTATAGTAGAGAGATCAGCTTTTTTTAAGAGCGTTTCCCCAGTTTTTGTCTTTTGACTTTTGTATTGTGATTTTGACCAAGGTTAAGTTGTGTTTGAGTCAAATTCAGCAATCTTTTCCAACCCCTGTGTTTCAAAAGGCCTTCTTCACTCTAATGAATTTTTTTCAATGCTTTTCTTCTCAATGAAGTGCAGTGTGTTTGGGTGTTGGATAGTTCATTAAAATAATGTATTGCATATATACAATTTTTTCCAGATACATTTACCTATTTTTTATTGAAGCATGAGAGTTACTTATGAAATTCTTTCACTGGTAATCCTGAATAAAACTTTAAATCTCAAATTGACATCTATTCATTGGAATCCTCTTACTCTTCTATTTTTATTTTTTATATTTCAGCCCTGGTACCTGACAGTGTAAAGAAGGAGCTTCTACAAAGAATAAGAACATTCCTTGCTCAGCATGCCAGCCTCTAAGATTGAATTAGATTGTATTGTTTTGTGGTTTTATTTCTGAAAGTGAAACTTGCCATAAATTAGAAATCACTAATTTCCCAAAATAAAATCCTTTTTTGTATGATGGTATACAGTTTTCAGTAATGATGTATACATTGTATTGATTTTTTTCCCTAAATGTGTTATTTTAATAAATATCTCATGAATGAGTTTGAAGTTGCTTGGATTTTGGAATAAACAGGATTTTGTCTTTATTATTAATTCACCAGATTAGTTGACAGAAGTCAACAATTTTCTAGAGTTTAAGTATATATTTAGTATCTATAAGTCTCTGTTAAAAACTGAGGAGACCACAAAGAAATAAGCCTTTTCTGATTGTCTGGATATGGTTTATTTCTCCTTTGAATTCCCATAATTCTATAACATTTTAATGCCCCATCTTGTACTACAGTCATTTGTCTTATTTCTTATTTTGTTAGAAACTCTGAGGGTTAGAACTGGGTCTTACTCCTCTTATGTGCCTTTCATCATGACTCAAAGAATTTACCATCTAGTAGAAGAGTGAACATTTGCACATTGGCTCCACACCAGGCTCCTCCCATGTATTCTACTCTGAAGTGAACTTTGAAGGCAGAATCTTTCCGTTGCATCCCCACATACTATGGTCAAGAAAGAACTGAGTGGGAAATAACATCTACCCATTAGTGTTATTCTGACATCAAGATTGTCAAATCCAATGGACTCCTGACTATTCTTACGTGACCTCTGCTGGAAAATGAGAATGTCACCGTGCTGACACTTGGAACTTTCTTCCCACTCTTTGCATTGTTTCTTCCTGCCACTACAAGTTCCTTCTGTGTCTCGTGGAGTACCTTTTCTGTATGGGACTTAAATAATGGTGTTTCTAGTGCTCCCTCCTGGGCCTTCCTCCTGACTAACTGGATATACTTTTCCTGGATAAATCCCAGGAGACTTGGGTCAGACCATGGCTTCAAACACCAGCAGGTTGACAAAAGCTAAACTGCATCTCCAAACCAGACTTCAATCCAGCTGTTATGGATCTGCTCCCTTGGATGTCCCACAAGCACTTCAACCTGAACATAACTAAAATAGTGATTTTTTCCCCCCCAACATCTGCCACTGTTGTATTCCTTATCAGTGAATGGTATCTGCTAGACATGCATACAGATTACCTGAGAAGCTTGTTAAAATGCTGATTCTGAAGGTAAGTAATATGGCACAAGATTCTGCATTTCTGACAAGCTTCTAGTTGATACATTTACTGCTGGTTGAGGATCCCTTTAAATATAGAAACACTATAAATTATCGACTACCTGCCTTAACTGCCTTAGTCAAACCCAGATTGTTGCAGTAAGCTCCTAATATTTCCTTACTCTAGTCCCATACCTCCTCCATTATCTCTTCCATACTATTGCCTAAATGGCCTTACTAAAATTCAAATCGGGTCATTTTGTTCTCTACTTGAAGTTTCTCAATGGCGCTTCCTAGTTCACAGAATAAAATTCAAACTTGACACTTAGGCCCTTCTTTATCTGACATTTACTTATATCTAGTTAGTTTGAAAGGCCCCAAAGTATCAGATTGTTTCATCCCTAAGTACCTTTGAAACTCCAACCTAGAAAGCCCTTCACGCCAGTTTATCTAATTCCTATTTAACCCTTCAAAGTTCAGCTCAAGTTGCTAAAACATTCTGACACTCCCCTGTCTAGTTTAGATTCCCCTCTTCTGTTTTTCATTGAGAAGCACCTGTGCCTAATTTCTGTAGCACAGTGGTTCTCAGTCGTGCATCTCCTGGAGAGGATAGGAAATGACTTTTGACTTCGTATTCCCAATTCATCATCTAATTGCTCAGCATTCTCTGAGAAGTAACTATATTTGTGGATGAACGGGTGAGAGTATGCATGAATACACCAGTGATAAACATGGGAGCGCAAAAAAAGTAACAGTTCGATGTAGTTGAGGGAAGGTTTTGCATTAATTTTTTTGCTCACTGTTAGACACAATTTCATCTTTCTGCTGAATTTAAATTTTAAAAGTAGTGCTTGTACCCTGGGCTTAATTGTCTAAAGCTTTGAACCTGAGGCAGACACAATCACAAAACCTACCCAAAAGAGTTTGTTTCAATTCACCTAATATAAAGGAATGATAGTTATCATTGTGCTCATTATCAAAAAAAAAAAAACAATTTTACATGATAGGCAATGTTAGAAATAGGTAGTTCTTGTTTCATGGTACTGTATATGGAAGCAAACCAAAAATTGCTTCTAGAGATGATATTTTAATACCTCAAAAGAAAATATTAGAAAATGAAATATCGAGTTGCTAATGAAACTATTTTAAAATGCAACAAAGACCAGATGGATTGACAGTACTTCATAGCAATTTAAAGTAAAGAACATAGCTTTACCTTTAAGTTTTTTTGACATCTTGGAAATGTCTTGGAGTTTGCATACAGAACCATTAATATCTTTCAAATAAACCACCTTTATGAACATAATGACTCACATCTTTGATTTACATGAATTAGGAATACATTCTTTAAAAATCATGCACCCTTTCATACTCAGTGTTGAAAATTAAATAGATTACTGTTACAAGACTGTGCTGGGTGAGTAAAATACTAATTAGGATTACTGTAAGCTTCTCTTGTATAGGATTAAAGAAGATCCAACTAAATCATTTATGTAATCACTTTGCTTTGGCATTGCAAGTGTATCATTTTGTTGAGCAGTGCCAAGCCAGGGCCTGGGTGATGATGGAGATTGGTAATTGGATATGGAACTTTTCACAACTTGATAAAAGTTTCCATCCAACTCAAGAGAATTGTGACAGCTGCCTAGTAGTTAATGTTGGAAATGATCCCGTGTGTGTGTGTGCATGTGTGTGTTTTCACCCTTCTTGAAAATGGCTATCTCGTATTACTCAGTGACTTCATAAAACCCCTTATATTTACCATTAGAATCCACACAAAAGTCATTGGATGAATCTACCAAGAAAACCAACAGAGACAAATCAGACAATTCTGGTTCTAGTCTCATCTGTGATACGGAATTAACCAGGTAAGACTGTCTTCTGCCTCAGTTTCCTCATTTGCATAATAGAGCTGATAATGATGAACTAGCAGGAATTAGAATAATCAGTAAAACTATAAACACTATTAATAGGGTAATCTGCAAAAGCAATATAGATTCTATATAAATAGATTCATGTCATTACTTGAAACAAGTCGTTGAGTATTTGTTTTCTAGATTTATATAGATACGAATTATACTTAAATGGAATATGGGTGCTCTTATTTTTCAGGAGTTTCTAAGTAATATTAATTACCATGAGAATATCTACAAAAATAAAGATGACCAACATGATTTGAGTAGAATTAATGTCATTATAATAGCATTTAGCAGAGAGGTTTGAAGTTATCTATAGACATTTTTGCCCTCATTCTATGTGAACTCTGTATGACATTAATCTTTTGATCGTCAATGCCTAACACAGTAAGTACCTGATGAATTCTTTCAAATGAATGAATAAAAGGCAACAGAGAAAGAAATTTAGAATGTATCTACTTATTCTGGACTTTATTTTTAGGTATTCTGGTTATCACCACCAGGGTGCACTTGAAGCCTGTATTTTGGTCCTCTCTGGGGCCTTCTGTAACTGAATTGTGTGACATTTTGATATGCCCAATTCTAATTCAGACTAGCCGGCCTTTTTAAGATGAAGGTGTTATTTATTTAAAACTTAACGTAAAAAAAAATTAATGTAGCTTCAGAATGTTTCTGGTATAAATTAAGATGAAGCTACAGTGAGATGTAGATACTGTTTTGCTGGGATCATTTTCTGAAGCCAGTTCAGTAATTCACCAGTGAATTGATTTAAATATCAGACAATTACTGAAATAGTCCTATTTGAACTACTTCATTAAAAAAAAAAAAGCACAGTAAATTCTTGATAGTGAAATAAAAAATAATTTTCAGTGTTTACCTGTCATTATGTTCCTTTCTCATCAAGAACCTTTTTAAAGGGGAATAACATTCATATTTTCCTTTTTCATACTGTTACGTCACTTTATTTTAAAAAAAAAAAAAAAAAGTATAAAAAGAGCATTATGTAGCACCAAATCCCTGTGGACATTCAGTGAAGGTTGGCTTATGATGACAATGATGAAGAAAGACTATGAATGAAGGCAGATAGAATCTGCACTCATGGTGCAATGCTGCTCATAAAATAGTTTTGAGTACAGGAGCTGGTGCCATTATTATGACCTCCATAAGTGTTTGGCCTCTGTGCCTAAGATCATAGAATCAAGTGATAATAAATGGCTTTTAAATTACTGTACACCTTCTTACCCTAAAAATTTTTGCTGAGGGGACACTTTTGAGAATTTATTCTTTCTAGACAACTACTTGTATAAAGTTGGGCTTTGACAGGATTAGAGCCATAAAGTAAAAATCAAAAATTAAAATAAACCGGTTGCCATCAAGTTGATTCCAACTCATGGTGACCCCATGTGTGTCAGAGTAGAACTGTGCTCCACAGGGTTTTCAGTAGTTGATTTTTCAAAAGTAAATCACCAGGGCTTTCTTCCAAGGCATTTATGGGTGGACTCAAACCACCAAGCTTTGGGTTAGTAGTGGATGAGTTAACTGTCTGCCCCACCCAGGTACTCCTGGAATATTTAAAAAATTATGAGAATTTTGAGCACTCCTCTTATCAGGCATAACATAAGTCAAGGTTATGGTAAATGAACACACCTGTGTAACAAGCGCTCCATCAGGAACTAGATTATTGCCAAAGCATTATTCCAGAATCCTCTCTCTCGTCCTTTGCTAGTCAATATCATTTCCTATCCCTAGGGGTAACCACTACGCTGACTTCTAACACCATAAACTTCTTTTGCCTGTTTTTTTTATTTGCATGTTTTGTTTTTAATGCACAGGAAAGTTCTATATTCTTTGTTTTTTTTTTAACTCCCTGTTCCTCCCATCCCCAAAGCCTAACTACTCATCTTCTTTTGTCGATGGATTTGCCTATTTTAGATATTTCATATAAGTGAAATCATACAGTATTTGTCCTTTTGTGTCAATCTTATTTTACTTAGCATAATGTTTTCAAGGTTCATCCATGTGGTGGCATGTATCAGAACTTCATTTCTCTTTATAGCTGAATAATACTCCATTGTATGTATATACACATTTTGTTTATCCGTTCTTCTGTTGATGGGCACTTGAGTTGTTGCTGTGTTTTGGCTGTTGTGAATAATGCTTCAAAGAACATTGGTATACATGTGTCTATTTGAGTCCCTGCTTGCAAGTCTTTTCGGTATATACCTAGGAGTGAAATTTCTGGGTCATATAACATGTGATTCTATATTTAACCTTTCTAGGAACTGCCAAACTATTCTCCGTAGAAGCTACATCATTCTACATTTCCACCAGCAATGTCTGAGTGTTCCGATTTCTCTATATCCTTGCCAGTACTTGTTATTTTTTTTCCTATTTTTGTTCGTTTTTGTTTTTAATAATAGCCATCTAGTGGGTGTGAAGTGGTATCTCATTGTGGTTTTGATTTGCATTTCCTTGGTGGTGTAGTGGTTAAGCACTCGTCTGCTAACAGAAATGTCAGCAGTTCAAATTCACCAGCTGCTCCGTGGGAGAAAGCTGTGGCAGTCTGCTTCTGTAAAGATTACAGCATTGGAAACTTTATGGGGCAGTTCTACTCTGTCCTGTGTAGTCGCTATGCGTCAGAATCGACTAGATGGCAATGGGTTTTAATGGCCAATGATCTTGAGCATCTTTTCATGTGCTTATTGGCCACTAGTATATGTTCTTCGGAGAAATATCTATTCAAATCTCTTACCCATTTTTTAATTGGTCGTTAGTCTTTGTGCTGATGAGTTTTAAGAGTTCTTTTATATTCTAGATATTAAACCTTTATCTGATATATGGTTTCCAAATATTTTCTCCCATTCAGTAGGTTGTCTTTTCACTTTCTTGATAATGTCCCTTCATGCACAGAAGTTTTTTATTTTGATGAAGTCCAGTTTGTCTATTTTTTTTTCTTGTTGCTCATGCTTTTGGTGTCATATCTAAGAATCCATTGCCTAAAAGAAGGCCCAGAAGCTTTACCCCTGTGTTTTCTTGTAGTTTTATGGTTTTAGCTCTTATGTTAAGGTCATTGATCCATTGGGAATTACTTGAGTCCTAAAAAAGCCTGCATGATCTTGCCCCTGATTATCTCTCCAACCTCATCTCATACTCCCCTCAACCTCACGTGCTATTTTCAGTTACACTGGCTTTTCTCCCCCTTTCCAGTTCTTAATCATTCCGTGTTTGTTCCCTGCTTAAAACGATTGCTCTAGCTGTTTCCTCTGCTGGTACATTCTTACTTGAATGTAAGCTCTATGAGTGCAAGGACTTTATATGTCTTATTTATTGATGCATGTCTATTACCTAAAGCTATTTCTAATACATAGAGTCATTAACAAATATTTATTAAAAGAATGAATAAATAAATACATGAATACATGGATGTTTCCTAGATGCTGAAAAGTATAAATTAAAAGTAATATTTTACTTGAGTTTATTCCAGCTGAATTTACTACACCTAAAGATTCTGGGCAGATACTAGGTAAACAATAAATTCTGTGTTGATAAGCTAGATACGATCATTATATTATTCTACCTATTTTCAAACTAATGTTGTGTTGTTGTTAGGTGCCGTTGAGTTGGTGCCAACTCATAGCCACCCTATGTACAACAAAATGAAACGCTGCCTGGTCCTGTGCCATTCTCACATTCATTGCTATGTTTGAGCCCATTGTTGCAGCCACTGTCAATCCATCTCTTGAGGGGATTCCTCTATTTCGTGGACCATCTACTTTACCAACCATTATTACAATATTGTATGTAGTACATAGTACACTGGTGGCCCAGTGGTTAAGTGCTTAACTGATAACCAAAAGATTGGCTGTTCAAACCCACCAGTCGTTCTGTGAGAGAAAGATGCGGCAGTGTGCTTCCATAAAGATTACAGCTTTGGAAACCCTATGGGGCAGTTCTACTCTGTCCTATAGGGTCGCTATGAGTTGGAATCAACTCAGTGGCGGTGGGTTTAGGTTTGTTTGTTTGTTTTTGTTTATTTTTATGTAGTAATTATTAAAGATGTAATTAGTATGCTGCTGACAGTGTCATCTTTGTGTAAAAATCCCTTGCCGTCGAGTTGATTCCAACTTATAGTGACCCTAAGGACAGAGTAGAATTACCCCATAGGGCTTCCAAGGAGCTGCTGGTGGATTCAAACTGCTGACCTTCCAGTTAGCAGCCAAGGTCTTAACGACTACACCATCAAGGCTCCTATCTTAGTGTGGGTGAATTATTTCAAAGCCTACTGAGTAAGCTTCTGTCCGGAGGCAAGATGAGAAGGCAGAGGGTCAGGAGCTAGTTAAATGGACATGGGAAATCCGGGGTGGAAAAGAAGAGTGTGCTGTCACAGTGTAGAGAGAGAAAGTAGGGTCACATAACAATGTATGTATAAATTTTTGTATGAGAGACTAACTTGAGTTGTAAACTTTCACTTAAAGCACAATTAAAAAAAAAAAAAACCTACTGAGTAAAAAAAATACAAGCTTTACTAAAGCTGCCTACTCCATTCCTGCACTTGTGTACCTCCAAGTAGCTGGAGAAAAAACACTACCATGCTGACTGGTTTCACTTTAATTCAAGACCAGGAACCTTAACTCCTCCCAAGCAATTACATTTTTTTCCCCTGGCCTATTAACTATCCAACTGGGGAATTGTTCCCATCTCTTCTCCAGCCACTCAAGCCTCTGCTCCTTTACACACCAGGCACACTCCCTCCTCATGGCCTTGGCGCTTGTTCTTCCAGGTGCCTGGAATGTTCTCCCAGATGTCCACGTGGCTAAGTTGCTCACTTCCTTTAGGTCTTTAGGTAAAATTCACCATTTCAGTGAAGCCTTTCTGGTCATCCTATGTAAAAAATATCATCACTCCCAACACACACAAATACACACACAATTTATATTGCTCCCTGTTTTATT